GATCTTGATTTAAATGTCGTCATCGAATTATGTTATTAGTCTGAGTACATAAATAAAAACTAACGATAAGACATATTTAACATTCTTGAACAAAAATAGTTACAGCAATGCCTAGAAATTGTTCTGGCTGCATAATGCATTAACCTTTTTCTAGTTAAGTTTAGGATTTTAATGGAAATATACCCTGTTTATTACTACATTACATATGTAGTTGGAGATCTCTCACGAATACAATGATAATAATAGATGGGTTTTTCAAGCGTTAGAAGATACGGGGAAATAACGCAATGTAACTTTTTATCTTGTTTACATTTGTTGTTTTCACAATTTTCATCATAACTTTTGCGCTTGCTGAGATATCCATCACATTATTACTGTGTTCTTAAAATAAAGTTCTATTTGTACACTAAAAAAATTATGTTTCATTTTAAGGAACATGCAGTTTGTCGTTTAAAGCAAATATTACATAGAAATTATGGGAAACATTTAAAAGTGACACTTAAAAAAATGCGATTTTTGACAGGACTGTTTAGAATTTTTTAGTATTCTTTATTAATAACTAGTAAATAAAACGTAAAATATCAAATATTTGTCATTAAAAATTAAAACAGTTACCTGGAGAAATGTATAAACTAATCCGACCTTTTTTTCAATTATCTAATGTACTTTTGTTGATATTTTAAATTGTTGATAATTAAATCATAGAATTGCCCAAGAATATTATTCGCAATGCGGAGAAAGTTACCTAAATCCTTTTTTATTATGAACTATTATGGTGTTAGTTTTAAACTGTATAATAATAATAATTAAAGTACAACATAAATGCAAATACAAACAATAATTAAGTAATAAAAGTAAGTGTTTGTTTTTTATATTAAAATTTCATATTAGTGCAATGGAAATTTATTATGAAATAACAGGGTGTCAGAATGTAGTTGGGAGGAGAGAAGACTTTATTTTTCTTTTTGTAAAAAAAATCTAAGGCGTGTCTCTAAAAAAATATATACAGGGTAGCCCATCGAGAACGTACCGCAAGGCATTACAGGGTAGTAAAGAACTTTTCGGCAAAATCCAAAAACAGGTCAAATTTATTTTGAGGGGGACAACTTTTGGCTCAAAAAGCATACCAAAATCTTCAACCCCCTAAGTGGGGATGCTATCCCCTAAATTTTTTCAAATGGGAATGGGGGTCAAGTGTCCTGGAAACGTCTCATTTAGGTAATTGCGCACATTGAGCGAGTAATATGGAGGAGCTCCGTCTTGCTGGAAAATCAGTTCGTGTTCATTGTAAGCAGGGTCGTCCTCTATGATATTTGTTAGAGCTGGGTCGATGACATTTTGTAGTAAATCCAAGTACATATCGCCTGTCAAATTTCCAGGAAGGAAAAAAGGACCTACAATGGAATTTCCAAAAATACCTGCCCATACATTCAACTTCTGGGGGTGTTGGGAGTGTGTCTCATGGAAAATCCTTGGATTGGTATCAGCCCAGTAACGACAATTATGGCGATTCACTAAACCATTCAAGAAGAACGTACACTCGTCCGAAAAACACACATTAAAGAGGAAATTATCGTTTATCGCTCGTTCAGTCATTATTTCGCAAAATTGCAAACGACGATCAAAATCGTCTTCATTTAGCTCTTGCACTAGCCGAATCTTATAAGGATGGAATTTGTATTTTTTTAATATTCGTTGGACACTTGTACGACTCACTCCTGTCGCAGTAGCCAATTGCATTGTACTCAGCGTACTATCCATTGCCACTTGCCCCAATACCGCTATTTCCGTAGGTTCATTTAGTACCGGATTTTCAACCTGCCTCTTTTTGTTATGAACGGAGCCAGTTTCGCGAAATTTGGCCACCAATTCGCGAACAATTTTTCCAGACGCATGTTTCTCAGGATGCCGTTGGTTGAACAGTTCGGCGACCCGATTTCCGCATTCATTGTTTTTGAAAAAAAGCTCAATAATTTCTACTCTTTCTGGAATTGAGTACACCATAATTAATCAATTTAAAAGACTCGGCAGTATTGGTACTCTTCAACTACAAGTCACAAGACAGTTATCTAGCAACTTCTTGTGGCCTATCTAAATACGAAACAAAAAGCGGACAATTTTTTGCTCACCAAAATCAGGCTAAAGAATTCGCAAATCAAAAAAAAAAACAGCGAATTCTTTTGAAGGAATTTACCAAGCTAATACCGTAAGTTTTGAAGTAAAATTAAATCGATTTTCGCATTTCTCGTCAAAAATATTGTTCGTATTTTCAAAGCTGCATATTTTCTAAAATAATGGATCGATTTTCAAAAAGTAAGAATCGATGTATAGAGAATTAAAAGCCCTTTCTAATGACCCCCCACTTGACCCCCATTCCCATTTAAAAAAATTTGGGGGATGGCACCCCCACTTAGGGGGTTGAAGATTTTGCTATGCTTTTTGCGCCAAAAGTTGTCCCCCTCAGAAGCAAACTTTACTTGTTTTTGGATTTTGCCGAAAAGTTCATTACTACCCTGTAATGCCTTGCGGTACGTTTTCGATGGGCTACCCTGTATATTTAAAATAGAGCGGATAATTTTATCCTTAGAACTCGATAATGTACTACGTTAGTTAAACAGCACATAAACAACCAATACTTTTCCAGTATTTAAAATGTACGGCGATCGTCTTAATCCTATGCGGGTGAGTTTTTTTCGATGTTTAGTGTAGGGATCTGGGAAAATAGCAGAGATACTAAAAAGTTTAATTAAGGAAAGATGTGCTGTTTTATGATCCTTATTAAATGTTAGTTCTATTTTTTGAAAAAAAGTCACGGCTGACTAGATATTTAGAATAATTCGAATTCGGACAATTCCTTCAGATGCGTGTGGCTCCGTTGCTATTTATTTTACAAAAAAAGTTTAAATTACGAAGTTTCAGTTTTTTGAGGTGTTAATAAGACGGTGTGATCAAATTGTTCGTGTGCACTTTCGTTTTCAATTTATAACATAAACTTCAAGTTCTTTAAATGTACCACCCTGTATAAGAACTGGAAAATTTTCATGTCAAATTCGATAAATTTGGTCTTCCTCTACAAAATGTCCAATTTGCACAAAAAAATAAACCTATGTTTCCGGGAAAACTAAATTTTACTGACAGTGCATCTGTATCTGCATCTGTAATTTTTTTCTTAAAAATCAAAACATCTCGAAAACAGTCGATCCTAAGTATGAAATGTGCTATTAGGCCAAGCAAATAAAATTTTTACTCGAACAAAGTCATATCCGCGAGATTATTGTAAAATGGTCTAAAGGAACATAATACAAGACATTTCTCATCTCGTGAGTCAAAAAAATTTGTTAGCTAACTTTTCTATTTAAACAAATAGGTGAAGAAAACAGTTTTTTCACTTGGCAGAGAAAACCATCAATTTTAGCGAAAAGTGACTCACAGACAGCTTGTAGGGAATAAAATGATCTACAAAATGAGATTTGTTGAATTAAAATCGGTTAATAAACAAAAAAGTTATTACAAAAAAACAAGAAAAGTGACAATTTTTTAATTTGTTTATAACTCTCGCATTTATTGTTAAAATTTTATAAAACTTATGACAGGTTGAGGGTTTTGTCATACTTTAAAAGTGTGCCAAAAGTGGGCGCTGTAGATGCAATAGTTTTCGCACAATTCAATTTGTTTATAACGGAGGCTCCAAAAATTCAAGTCTTAATGTTTATAAACAATTGCGCTACGATTTTTTTTAAATCTTGGCTCTTGTTGGTCGTAGAGGGTGCTTTTTTTTAAATTTTATTTTTTGCCAGTTATCCATTGCATCTATTTTCGTGATGTAGCATAAATAGCAACAATTTTATTCAAATTGTTTATAAGCGAAAAACGCACGGTTTTTTAATGCACAATTTCAGAATGTTAATGTCAAAAAAACGGTGATATTTTTTAATAGGTCGCTTAATTACGTCTTTAAGATTACAGTGACGCTTTCAGAATCATGTTTGGTTGAAAATTAACGCCTGTACAGAGGCTTAAAGTTCATAACTTTTGGAGCCTCCATTAGAAACAAATTGAATTATGCGAGAACTATTGCACCTACAGCGCCCACTTTTGGCACACTTTTAAAGTATGAAAATCCTCAACTTGTCTGAGGTTTTATAAAATTATAACAATAAATGCGATAGTTTTAAACAAATTATAAAATGGGCACTTTTCTTGTTTTTTTGCAACAACTTTTTTTAGCTAATCAAATTTTTTGATTCGCGATATGAGAGATGTCTTGTATTATGTTCCTTTAGACAATTTTACAATAATATCGCGGATAGGAATTTTTTCGAGTTTCTCTTTTATTTTCCTTGTGTGTATATGCTACCAACTTAAAAATTTATACTCTTTCCAAAAATGCAATAATATACAGGGGGTTCCATTTAAAATAAGAAAGTTAGTATCGACTTTCGGTATAACCGGAAGTACGATGACGAAAATATGTCAGCTTGGTAGGCCCTTGGTAGGCTTGGTGGGAGAACATCTACAACCCTTTGAATACGGTGCAGCTGCACAAATAGGACCTTGCGATGTGTCATGCGCCATTACGCATTATTTGCTAACTCCCAATGCAGCTATATTTTTTTATGCCATCCTTGTAATGTTTTCGCGCTTTCTATATATTTTGATATTTGATATATCGATAAATTTGCACATGCTGCCAATTTCACAGTTACTCATCTTGATGATCGCGCTCGATGAAAACAAATATCAATAAATCAGAACCAGAACGACTTAATAATATGCGTTTCATTAGAAACATCTCGTATCGGACATCCAATGGATTGAAAAAAGTATAAAGCAGAACCTGGCGACTAGCCAACTTTAATTTCTTCGAAGCGTTATATATATCTAAGCGACGCTGGAGATCGACGCTTCGACCCGATCTAGTTTTTGTGTTTTGTCGGTATCGAAGCACACCGACGTTTCGTTGTCGTTCGCACCGTTTTATCAGTCGGATGTTTTTCCAGATGGTTCAAGCATTTCTCGGACGCCACCGAGTCTCATAAGAAGAGGGAGGGTAAACGCCAGGAAGCCCCCACGGATTCGGACGATTCGGAGAGCGTTCAGGACCTGCCACCTTCCGGAGAGATCGTCGGAAGGGCCGAAGCCGTCGGTGGAGACGATAACGGCGCCGCTTCCGAGGGTGTTAATGAAGCTGAAGACAACGAAAAGGTCGAAGGCGAAGACCACAACGAAGGTACCGACAGAGAATCGGCTACGTCCCCAGGTCAGTATGTTTGGATTTAGTAGGGACGGTAGTTAGATATTAACAATCTACTACAAATAATATGATCACTAACTTTGACCAACAATTTTCTTACCGAGATTAATTCTGGGATATGAAGCAGGTGGGTTATGTCCCAAATATCAATAATTAATAATTTTATTTTCAGTGATGTTTAATTAAATTAGGTTTTATTTAAAATAAATTTGGTGCTTAATTATTGTTCCTTTTGAAATTATCTGTCTCTGATGTTCTCTGATGTTTATGTTAATATTTATGAATCGATATTTTGATGACATTAATTATGGGAGCAGTAGATTTTTATTCGAGCTGTACATTTGTGGTCATTCTGTGGTTTGGTCTCAGTTTATCTATGAAACTGGTCTTGCTCGTAACATGATTAATTATATACCTTTCAATTTGTTTTTCTCGGTCTATTTATAATGTATTTAATTTTGTAACCAGTGATAATCGATTTACAGGCACCTTAATTGCTATTTAAGACAGCAGTGACATTTAAACACATTTCTAATCACAGAAATCAAATAAGTGTTCATCATTATAAGAAAATATAATAAATACATATAATTTTGTGAAATTGTTTCACAAAAAAATAAAAACTATAACCGATAATGGGGATGCCAGCATAAAAAACTGTTCAATGTCTTAAGTTTCTCTTAGAAGGTTGTACATACATATATAGGTACTGCTTTGCACTACTAAGGATGCTGTATTTATAAATAACTAAAGTTTTTTTAACATATTTCGAAAAACTGAAATATGATTGTTTTATTCTAAATTCACATCTGTTTCATCTCTGGTTTTTGAATTTGAAACACAGCATTCTTAATTTAAGGACTGCCACTTATATACCTCTAAGCACATACTGATATATTTCTAATGTCGATAATTAAGACGACATCTAAAATTATGGTGAAATGGTAACATAAGGTAATGGTTTTAGAAATGGTTGCTGGTGGTGGTATTCAAACGTCAAAGGTGAGTGCAGAGGAATGGCCACTAATCCAACCGTCACAGGTCAACATTGCGGTGCCACCAGTTCTCACTGCAGAATCCATGCTCACACCGCTAGGTATGCACACTCTTACAGCACCCTTTATTTGCTTTTCTTATACCCTCACGTTTGGTACTTATTCTCCCTATTTTCAAGAAAGTTATCGTTAACTTATAACTTCTGCAATATAAGTTGTTTTTTACTTACAATTAGTTAAAAAAATGTGATACAACGATAAGTGTGTTTGGACCAATTTTTTTCGCGATTTTTCAACTCCACATTATATTTATAAAAAATTGTAGATTGTGGTTTATGCATAGCTATGGGTTTTCAAAAAGTTTGGAACCCCCTTCTATCTCAGAAAATACTGCTCAAAAAAAAATTATTAGGACATAAGTTGCAGGGTTTTGTGTGAGCAATCCAACGGTGACCTTGAAGGTCATTTTGAGGTCAAGTTGAAAATTTTAAATGGAACCGTATACTTTTAACACCGAAAATGGAAAAAACGGAAATTTTTACATTCGGATATGACTGACCATGACCTTCAAGGTTATTTAGAGGTCACGGTGAAAATTTACGGTTTCATTTAAAATTTTCAACTTGACCTCTAAATGACCTTCAATGTCATATCCAAACATAAAAATTTCCATTTTTCCCATTTCCGAGGCCAAAAGTATATGGTTCCATTTAAAATTTTCAACTTGACCTCTAAATGACCTTCAAGGCCATGGTCAAGGTCAAGGTCACTGTTGGATTGCTCACTCAAAACCCTGCAACTTTTGTCCTAATCATTTTTTTTATTGAGCAGTATTTTCTGAGATAGAGGGGGGTTCCAAACTTTTTGAAAACCCGGTATACATATATCAAGGTACTATTTTTTCTAGTATAAAATACATATTAGTCAGTTGAACATGTAAAAAAACGCCTGGCAATAAAATTTAATGACTTTCATAGGCGTCCCTAAAAAAGTTTTCTGCTAAAGTTAAAAAATTATAATAATTTGTATATAATGTGTAGAAAATTTATATTATATATTCATTTGGCCAACAACATATTTTAATTAATTATGTCCTCGAACAATTTTATTATATTGATGTTAAATTTCGTTTTGCTCTGTTTCAAAAAGTCTTCAAAATGCCATATAATAATATTATTTCTCCCTTTCGCAATTGTAATATGAAAGATTAATAGAAGGTGTCTATAATAAATTAAAATTACTTGCATCACACCAAATCCCGCATTGCTGCACTACACTGGTGGGCAATTTGTCAATCACTTGTCAACAGCTGAGATTTATTGCCCAGTGGCCTGATGCAGCTGTGTTGCATGGGTATGGCTAAATAAATATGGGAACAAGTTTTTCAAATATTTCAGTGCCAAGTTGCTGCATGAGCGACTGAACCTGGTACATGCTGCCAACCTCTTGGTTCTTTATTTGATATCGGAAAAACTATAAAACCAATCGACTAGAAACCGATAAAAAACTTTTTCAATGAAAATCGCGTTTGTACAGGCTGCCTCATGAGGGCATTCTTCATATAAAAATATGCAAAAATGATTTATGAACTCTAGTCTGGAATGTTTCATTCTGAGATACAAGTCCATAAATTTTAAATAAAATAAGTCATAAATTAAAATAAGTCATAAATTTTATGAAAAAAAAGTATCTGTAGCTTCACAAAATATAGGAATATCTGTATTTAGTACTTACAGTCATGCTAGACATATTTGAATTTCTAAAAAATTATTAGTTGGCTAGAAAGTCATTGAATTTAGAAATTCTTTTGTCTTGATATTTTTTTCGTAAAATGCAGTATTCTTGAGAAAAATGGCAAATCACGATATGCAATCAATCATATTTTGCCATTTTCCTCGTAAACGTTGCGTTTTACGAAAAGAATATCAAGAAGCAAAAAAATTTCTAAATTAAACGGCTTTCTAGCGGACTAATAATAATTATTAAGAAATTTAAATATGCAACCAAAACAGGAAAAGTACATTCCGATGTTCACATGGGTGCCCATGATTTCCGTTATTTTTTTACTGCAAATCCTTGTATTTCATAGTTTTTATAGTTTATATGGATTTTCTTGTTCTATCATTGTCTTACTAAAAGTGCGATTTCTGGTTTATTTAACGCCAGCCTTAAGCATTATTTGTTTGACTTGTTTTTACCTACGGATTTATCAGTTTTGTGAATTTCCTCATGGGACTTTCCTGTATAAATCATTTGGGTACCTGTTTAGATGTGAGGGTATATCATCAATATTTATATTACACTCGATTGAAAAGTTTAGGAAAGTTTGCCTTAATTAAAACGTCTAACTAGCTTCTCAACTAATATCGATAAAAGTTTACACCGTCCTTTACATATATATTTTTTTAACTTCTGGATGCATTCACAGAGCAAATCAGGAGGAAGGATGCTTTGGTGAAACAGGCCTTGGAGGACAAGGAGGGCCTAGTCGCCGATATGATGAGCATTCCTCGGGAGCATTTCCAACATATCGCCGACATGGCCAGCGTAGACAATTCGACAAGCCGGGAACCATCCGAGCGAATTCTAGCGGCGATATTTCAGGTCGACCAACTCCAGAAGGCCGTAAACCAGTCGCTGAACGTGACAGAGTACGAAGCCGTTACGGCAAAAGGCGGCAAACATGCAGTGTGTACCAGCCAGCAACCCGTCGAGGAAGTGACCTCAGCCCATTTGACCGTACCAGTAAATTTGGTCAGAGATTTAGCAACCTCTCTCAGTTCACAACTCACGACCCTTTTGGTGAGTCCTTAAATTTTCCAGATTAAATATATTTAATGGCCCTGTATATTTAACATGTATTTCGTAATTTTTTAATTTTTTTATATTTTAATCTTTCAAAGGTTTCGTGGAAAGAGGATTGAAAGTATTTCATTCTGAGAGTTTGGATAAAAATAATATTTCTGGCTGATTCCAATAGTCATAAGCAATTCGAGTTAACAATTGGTCAATAGACATATTTGTATTGGTATTTTGTTAAAATTAAACACAGTCTATTGTATATTCACACTGAAGTGACCAACAACGACTATTGGCCGTTTGTTGATACTGCCAACTCGGCAGCGGAATAAAACATAACAATTACCGTTGCAAATATAAACACAAAGTTTTCAGAATCATCACTCGGGTCTATTTATTACTTTGAGTTATTATGATGAAACACGATAAACATATTAATGCTATTTTATTTAAAATACAATGGCTTTTCGAGATGTTATGCTATGGCCTATGTATTTGATTGTCACCAGTTACAGACTTACGTTACACCATCTTAGCTTTGACCTGCCTTTATTGTTATCGGGCTAGACTCTGTGGAGGCCTAGTACCGGCGGTGACCAGGTACAGACGCCATGGCATAATAACCCCAAAAAAAATCAACATGGTAAACCTGAGAACTACCTGTACTTATTATGGTACCTCTAACACTGTTTATTTACATTCTTGTAATAACAAATCGATGTAGCCCAAAAATGATTTTACGATCGAACTTTTAGGTGTATTTATATATTTTCAAAATAAGCCAGAGCGTGTTTTTCCAAAAACTATATAAACAAAGTTTTAGTTTTATTTAAACTGTTTTATATTTACAAAAATATGTGCTATCGCATAAATATTTACAACGGAGGTAGCAGATCTTTTCATGTTTGAGATCCCAGCAAAATGGATAAATATTTCCGTATAAATAACATCGGGTTGATCTGCGACTTGTAAACTCTTAAGTTAAATGATTTAATTTATATATTTAATAGCTAAAACGAACAATTTGAGACGAGATAAATTGGTATAATCAAAGAGTGAATTTAAGAATTGATTGTACAAAAGTTGGTTATATTTTTCATATCCTTGCAGAGTGAAGTAAAGCAGATCGAAGAAGAGAGGGACATGCTACGAAAGGAATTACATAGAATGAGAGAACGCATCCACGTAGACCATAACCTCCATAGCCCTGTACCTTTTGACGATAGCGAGGATTTTACATCGACAGATTGTGCCTCAGAACAACATAATCTTGAAGATAGCTCTTTACAGGTAAATTTCGTATGACTTTTTCCAGTTTTTATTTTCCAGCTCTTGTTCTGTTTCAAAAGATCTCCAAAATGCCATGTTGTAATAATATTAATAAACGAAATATCCTTCTTATTTCTCCCTTTCGTAATTGTAATATGAATGATTAATAGAAGGTGCTATAATAAAGTCAAAATTACCTGAATCACACCAAATTCAGCATTGCTGCACTGTACTGCTAGGAAATTTCTCAACAACTGAAATTTATGGCAGGTCGCCCAGTGCGGCTGTGTTTGTGCGCCGTCTGCCCGCGCGCGCATTCTTCATCTGGGCGACCAGACCTGTTATATGAATAAGGATAAGTAAATATTGGAACAAATTTTTCAATTATTTCAATGCCGAGTTGATCTTAAATTGACATCGGAAATACTACCACATACAAAAATAAATCATAAAAGAAGGTAAATAACTAATAAAACCCCTATTATCTTATTTGCTTGCGTATAGTGTTACAAATCTTTTATTTTTCTTTGTATATATAATCTTCCATAAAGGTTAAATCAACATTATTTTTACAATTTAATGATCTTATTATTAGTGCACATATATTTCATTCTGTTAACTAGGGAAAGTATTGATGTTTTTTTAACATAAAAATTGTTTAGGCTCTTTATAATTGATTACCTCCTGGAATTTGGTTTTGACTCATCATAAAGTAATCTGAAAACATTGCCCTGCATAGATAGAATGGTCGACAATGCGTATATAAAATAATTTTATAATATACCTGCAAACTAGAGTTCATAGGCCTCGGATATTCAACAGATTATGAAATTGCTTTAACATGTTAATAATGAGACCAACATATTTTTAATATGTACCGATTAATTTGGTTTAGGTTTTTAAAACCGTTTATTTGTATGTAAATGAATTAAATTGCAAATAATAATATTTTTAATACATTATTAAAAATCATGGATTTATTAATATATTTTTCATTATTTGCATTTTAATTAATAGGGTAATTTTTTTAATGAAATGTTGATGAGGGCAAATAGAAATGTAATAAAATAAAAAATGCATTCGTGAAAATTCTCCGGGCACCACTTAGGATATTATCTACTGAAGATCATATGAGATAGGCGTTCTTTCAAAGGCACATTTTCTAAAACCTCGAAAATCCTCCATAAACATTTATTTTCCTGCACAAGACCGTATGTAATTGTGTCGTAGTATTCTTCAGGAGTAAAAGTTACCTTTGTTACACTTTTGCATCATAATGTTGTCTAATACTATTTGCTCAAATTATCTGCATAATAGTGTGGGGATGGGAGTGTGAAGAGCTCATACTTGACAAGTAGCTCTTATAGTATACCAATGGTATAATATTGTGAATTAAAATATAAAAAAAAATCGACCTACTCATTGTAGATTAACTTACATATAAAATCTTTCCAGGTTTCCACCCTCTGAATTTTACTTTATGTGTACACGTTTTTCTTTAAGTTGGTAAATTATTTTACTAATTACACGAAAATCTGAAAGTAAAAAATTTGTTGTGGCTATCTAAACATAATTTTCTTTCACGAAGAGCACAGATAAAAATATTTGCAGCATATTAAGAGGACTATAGCAATGCATTTTTATAGATTTCACTACACAGTTTGTCTAAATATGAATCAATGCACAAATAACAGTCTTTCCTCCATTTTAACGCAGATTTTCTATAAAATGGTGTTAGTTTGAAATTCAAATTACTTTTTGTTTTAAAGAAATTTGTAATTTGCCGCATTTGAAAAAAACCGCATCGTAAATTACAAATTAAAATGGGGGAAAGTCTTATTTGTGAATTAATTCATATTTAGACAAACTGTGTAATAAAATCTGTGGATGGGCATGTCTGCAAGTGAGGCATTATAAATATTCGTCAATAGCGCCAGCCTGACTCCGCTCGGACTAGTCTGCCCGTTGCAAGCGTCAAGAAACAATGTGCAATGCGGGATATAGTTCCCAGAAGAGGACCACGGCAGATTGGCGCAAAGCACCAGATACTTATACCTGCAAGCGACTCTACACCAAGAAGACTCTCCAGCGAATGCTTGTCCTGACAACAATTTTTCACTAACTGCGTTTTCAATAAAAAATACTTATTACTTTATTTACCTACTACCTATTACCTATTACTTATTTTTACCATTGAGAGTGTTGCATTTTGCTGCACACCAAAAGCAAGCCTGAAGTAGTGACCCCGACGTGATCTTTCAACCGTCATTTTGTGAAAAAGAAGCGTTGTTGGGGTGAGCGTTCACTGGAGTCTTCTTGGTTTGGAGTCGCTCGCAGGTTTAAGTATCTGGTCCTTGGGCGCCAATCTACCGTGGTCCTCTTCCGGGAACCATATCCGGCATTGCACATTGTTTCTTGTCGCTTGCAAGGGGTGGACCAGTCCGGGCGACGAACAAATTTCTTCACACCAAAAAATAATTTACGATGTCGCTTGTTCAAAAGTAGCAAATTACAAATTTCTTTACACCAAAAAGTAATTTGAGTTTCAAATTAAGTCCATTTTATAGAAAATCTGCGTTAAAATGGGGAAGTCTATTTATTTGTGCACAAATTGTGTAATAAAATCTGTGGGTACAAATGTCTGCAAGTGCCCCATTTTAAGTATTACGTCAAGACCGCCAGTCTGACGCCGCTCGGACTAGTCTACCCGTTGCAAGCGACAAGAAACTATGCAACGCGGGATATAGTTCCCGGAAGAGGACCACGCAGATTGGCGCCCAAGAACCAGATACTTGTACCTGCGAGCAACTTCGCACCAAGAAGACCCTCCAGCGAACGCTCGCCCTGACAACATTTCTTTTTCACTAACTGTGTTTTCGATTAAAATACTTTTATTTTTACCGTTGAGAGACAGTTGGATTTTGCCGCACACCGAAAGCAACCCGAACGTGATTTTTCAACCGACGTTATCTTTCAACCGTCATTCAATGAAAAAGAAGCGTTGTCGGGGCGAGCGTTTGCTGGAGAGTCTTCTTGGTGCGGAGTCGCTCGCAGGTATAAGTATCTGGTCCTTGGGCGCCAATTTTCCGAGAACCATATCTCGCGTTGCACATTGTTTCTTGTTGCTTGCAAGGGGTAGACCAGTCCGAGCGACGTCAGGCTGGCGCTCGTGACATAATACTTAAAATGGGTCACTTACAGACGTGTACCCACAAATATATAAAAATGTATTGGTGGTTGCCTATTTGCTATCTTACGTTGTACAATTTGTGCATAATGAAATATTTTCTGTTGCAGATAGTAACGAAAAGTGACTGCGAAGAAGAACAATCGTGAGATGGCGGGCCATATGGACATTTTGTAAAAAAGTATTTGTTATGTACTAAACTTTTAAAATTCATTATCTTATAAATAGGTAATTTAAAGTGTAAATTAATATATATTGAGCCTAGATATGATGATAATCTATATAATGGTAATCAATTCTTATTATTTTTATAATGAACAAAGGAAAACTGATTTTATACATGCATGTAGTTTCCTTAACCGTTTTGTGACTTTAAACAAGAGTTAGGTTCAGTTCTTTTTAGAGTCGGTGCAATAATGCTTATGTAGATGTTATTCATTATTATAAGTCGCTAGTGGGCTTCCCATAGGGACGGCACTTTGTAATTATGTGTATATACTGTAGAGTAGGTTTATTATTTGTTGCTATATTACCAATACATTATTTATAACAATGTCCCTTCTACCTGATCATAGTATTCTATTTATTCGTTATACTTTTTGTGTTTTTTAAATTGGTGTATTTTAAGGAATGTGGGTGTGTACGATTCAGTTTGTTCTTGTTGGCTGGGTCGCCGAAGCGGATAGCCGTGTAATTAAACCAGTGTTAAATATTTAACCGATTCTTTAAGTGCCTTTTCGAGCACCCATTGTTGTTCATACCGCTTTTGTATAACGCTTTACAAATGTGCATTTTTTTTGTTAAAAATAAACGAAACGTTTTTCGGCATTTACGTAGTCGTAAATTATTTTATTTACTTTTTTTTAACCACTTTATTTCATCAGCGAATTATATATAATGAATGACACACCATACGATTTGTTATATGTATTTATATAAACAAAAATAACAGTACTATTGAATAAAAATTTTAAAACCACCCCGTATATTTTTTTATTGTACCTCAAAATGATGATGATAATGATGTAGATCTATACAATCCTTTAAATAAAACATTGGATTTTTCCCAGGCTCTCTGATGGGGACCTTAGATTTGACCTTGACTGACCTTCAAGGTCATTTGAAGGTCAAGTTAGATTTTTTAAATGGGAACCTCTATTTTTTATTGCGGATTTGGAAAGAGCAGGAAATTTTACGTCCAACTGTGGTCTTGACCATGACTTCGACAATGACCTTTAAGGTCAAATGTGGGTCGAATTCCAAAAGACCCGGTATGGCAGAAAAACTTTCGAATGCATTTTGGAAAAAAAAATTTCCAGACAAAAGTGTAAAGATTTTTCCCTGGCTCTGATGGTGACCTTGGATTTGAAGTTGACTTTGAGTCAAGGTCATTTGAAGATCAAGTTAAGTTTTTTAAATGGGAACCCCTATTTTTTTATTGCGGATTTGGAAAGAGCAGGAAATTTTGCGTCCAAAATTGGTCTTGACCATGACTTTGACGATGATCTTCAAGGTCAAATATGAGTCGAGTTCCAAAAGTCCTGGTATGGCAGAAAAACTCAAAGAATAACATTTTGGGAAAAAGTGTTCCAGACAGAAGTGTAAGGATTTTTCTCTGGCTCTCTGATGGTGACCTTGAATTTGACCTTGACTTTGACCTTCAAGATCATTTGAAGGTTAAGTTTTTTAAATGGGAACCTATTTTAATTGCTGATTTGGAAAGAGCAGGAAATTTTATGTCCAAATTTGGTCTTGACCATGACTGACAATGACCTTCAAGGTCACGTGGGTCGAGTTCCAAAAGTCCTGGTATGGCAGAAAAACTTTGAAGAATTCATTGTGAGAAAAAATGTTTCAGACAAGCGTAAGAATTTTTCCCCAGGCTATCTGATGGTAACCTTGGATTTGACCTTATCTTTGACCTTCAAGGTTATTTGAAGATCAAGATATGTTTCTTAAATGGGAACCCCTATTTTTTATTGAGGATTTTGAAAGGGCAGGAAATTTTTCATCCAATTATGGTCTTGACCATGACATTAACAATGACCTTCGAGGTCAAATGTGGGTCGAGTTCCAAAGGTCTCGGTGTGGTAGAAAAACTTTTGAATAATGCATTTTGGGAAAAAATGTTCCAAACAAAAGTGTAACTATTTTTCCCTGGCTCTCCGATGATGATCTTGAATTTAACCTTGACTTTGACTGTTACGGTCATTTGAAGGTCAAATTAGGTTTTTTAAACGAGAACCCCTATTTTTTGCGGATTTGGAAAGCAGGAAATTTTACGTCCAAAAATGGTCTCGACCATGACTTTAACAATGACCTTCGAGATCAAATGTGGGTCGAGTTCCAAAAGTCCTGGTATGGCAGAAAAATTTTTGAACAATGCATTTTGGGGAAAAATGTTCCAGACAAAAGGATTTTTCCTTGGCTATCTGATGGTGAACTTGCATTTGACCTTGACGTTGGACCTTCAAGGTCATTTGAAGGTCAAGTCAACCCACAATTGACCTTGAAGCTCAATGTCAAAGTCATGGTCAAGACCATGTTTGGACATAAAATTTCCTGCTCTCCAAATCCGCAATAAAAAATAGGGGTTCCTATTTAAAAAACTTAACTTGACCTTCAAATGACCTTGAAGGTCAAAGTTAAGGTCAAATCCAAGGTCACCATCAGATAGCCAGGGAAAAATCCTTACACTTTTGTCTGGAACATTTTTTCCCAAATTGTATTCTTCGAAAGTTGTACCGCGCCGGGACTTTTGGAAGTTGACCCATATTTGACCTTGACAAAGTTATGGTCAAGACCATATTTGGACGTAAAATTTCCTTTTTCCAATTCCGCAATAAAAAAGAGGGGTTCTCATTTACAATACTTAGCTTGACTTTCAAATGACCTTGAAGGTCAATGTCAAGGTCAAATCCAAGGTCACCATCTGATAGCCAGGGGGAAATCCTTACACTTTTATCTGGAACATTTTTTCCCAAAATGTATTCTTCGAAAGTTTTTCTGTCGTACTGGGACTTTTGGATAGCCTTGTATGTAATGTTGATATTGTAACGTTCAATAATATTCTAGTCACAATTTAGGCAATAAGTGTAACAGTAAATTTTAAGACGGTATTTTATATGTCGACCTCTTCTGAGCACAGTAAATTTGCATTCATTCATTATTTTTTGTTAAAGAAATAATTGACATTTGTTTTTAAATACCTAAAAAGAAAAGTCAATAAAAATGTATTTCTCGGAATCTGGCGATGACTTTCACAGACTTTTGCTTACACCACTCGAAAGAGCGGAAAAAATTAATTGATTTCTTTGCTATATAGATAATGTGTATCGTAAATAATTTCAATAGAATTAAATATTTTCAAATTGGCAGCGGGTTTTAGTCCCATAAGAAAAGCATAGGACCCCCCCTGCTCTCCTCACTTCCCTCGGACCCCGATATACCCCCTTAAGTAAGAATTTTGAAAAGCGAGCGTAACATGGGCATTATGACGTCACAGCGTTCCCCTCTCCTGGCTCCCGCCCAGCCGCGCGGATCACGCTATCTTTAACGAATGTTTACTTGGTCTCTTGGTCGAATCCGTTCAAAAAAAGTTCAGCGTATATAGAAAGTCTTCTACTTTACGACACCGAGTTTATCGCCGTTCTTGGTGGTGAAAATTCGAAATATTTGGAATTATTCAAATTTCGTGGCTGAACACATACATAGGTATTGTATTTTTGAAACCGAGAGAGTTGAACAAAACTAAATTTGTACAGGACATAGCTAATACAATGTGAAACATCGCCTTAATGTTAAAAATGTTGTCACCACCATTCTCGGTGGTGAAAATTCGAAATAATTGGAATTATTTAATTTTCGAGGCTGAAAACATACATAGGTATTAAATTTTCGATGGATTGGGCGCGGAGGACCAGTGAGTTGGCCTTCAAGGTGTCTAGATATGACAAGTTGCGACTTCTTTTTATGGGGATTTATAAAAAGCAAAATTTACGTTACACCACCAACTACCCCAAAAGGTATGTGGCAGCGCATTACAGTAGCATGCTGACCGATGTTGAACAATGTCTTTTAAAAACCAAATTCGTTTGTGTATTAATCAAAATGGAGGACACTTCGAGCAACTGATGTAAATCAGCGGTCTAAGTATTCTTTTCCTTGTTGTATTCTGAGTTTCAGTTTGTTTCGTTTTGCGTTTTGTTTTAGTTGTTACTTTTATATGTTAAACCACTTTTTAAACATGCCAGTAAATATTGACACTATCAGTCCTAGGCGTGATAAAATGTGAGAGAAAAGTGGTTTTGCAAGGCCTTCTTGACGCTGTTACGTAGCTACTTTATCGGACTTTAGAAAAGAACCTGATTTTTCTGGAAAAGTATTAAAGATAAGTATGGACAACATTATATCAGTCGAAAGGGCATTCTTTTGCATTCACCTATGACGATTAATATGGGCCTTTCTATTTGAGAAAAAAAACTTATTCAACTCTTAACATGATTAAATGTAAGTCTCAATATTGCCGAGCCTGAATAACGTATACGTTTTGCTTACAGATGACAAGATAGAGTAATTTATGCCAAAACGAACCGTGAAAACTGCAGGTTTCTAATTCTTAAGGTTTAGACACTATTTAGCCTCATTTAGAGAGCTGAAATCGTGATTTGTTTCAAAAACAACCGATTATCTCGAAAACGGTAAATTTTAAACACCTGTACATTTAAGGTCTGTTCCAACAAGAGTCAAGGATTGGTTCCGAACTGTTTGAAATGTTTGGTCAGCTATGTTTTAAATGTGTCTTCAGTGAATATATCGCAAGAATTAGTTGGATGCACATTTCTGACGGTTCGGAACCAATCCCTGACTCTTGTTGGAACAGACCTGTAATAAAGTCTACCTTATATTAACCACGGAATTCAAAAATGCAATAATATACATGCAGTGTGTTCCATTTAAAATAACAAAGTTACACAGCATCTTTGAGTGTATATAGTCAAGGGTAGCACCCACGCGAAATGGAACACCCTGTAAAGCTAAAAATATTTTCTTTACATGGCCCACAAGATTCCAGGCAACTTTTATTAAAACCATTTTTTTTATAAATTTTACAGTTGCAGAGTTACAGAAGAATCCCTCTTAGGTGGAACACCCTGTAGTGTCTCTGCTAAGTAAAGAGAATTCGGTACAATATTTTGGTAAACAACTCTGCGGATTTGACTTCATCCATGCACAGTCTCTATCCCTATTATTAGCTAAAAATTGAATTTCGCTTAGTGCGACACTATTTCATACTTTTATAGTAGCTGCGAAATAACAGGTTGCTCTCTGCCAGTTAGACCGCGCTGAAGTTGGACATTGAGTTGTAGTATCCATACATATATGTAGCCCTTGTTATACCTTATATCACATCAAAATTTCGTAGAGCCACTCGTCAAGTGTATATCTTTGACAATCCTTTTTGTTTTGCGTTCAGTTCATTGATTCAGTTAGAAGGTAGGTACGGATTAGTAGGTCGCTTTCTGTCGGTACGTACGAAGCAATGATTTGTGCCCGGTATTGGGTAGCAGCATAAATTAAAATATAACGTATTTATTTATTTTGGACTATCGCTTAAAACGGGGTAAAATGAAAAATAATGTACACCTCCAGTATAGCAAAACCAAAAGGGGCGTGAGTAGGAGTTCAATAAAATTTTAATTACATTTTTCAGTACATTTATTAAATATATTGGGGAAGGCAACATCTGTATATATAACACTTAACATTTCTTTATTTTTGTAGTACAGACTTTTTTATATTTATGACATAAAACAGAAATACATTCAAACCTTCCTAGAGAACTCCAGCAAGGTTCAAAATACAGCAGAGCATTAAACATTTAACTCATTAAAAATTAAATGTTTAAATATTCCATATCCTTATTTGTCAAGTACTTTCAAGTAAGGGCTCGATTTGTTGAAAGTCACTGACAACATAGTTTGCACATAGAAATTAATACAAATCTATATATATTAAACAGACAATATGTACATAACATTTTCTCCAAATAACCTTTTTACATTGCAACATGTAATAATACAATATAGTTCTATGTACAGTTAAAGATTTGAAATATGTATAAATAAATAAAAATATACATCATACAAAAAATTTTTCAAGTCCATACATAAGCGTCATATATTTCATTTGAGTTATATTAACATAGAAAATTACAAAACTGTTTCATTCGTACAAGTCCTGGGTCCATTTACGATGGAATATCTGGACGATCCATTTCTCGCATTTACCGCACCTTTTATAAAAAGGTCCTTAAATGTTTCTCTGAACTGCCTAGACATACCACAGTAAATGGCAAAATTTATGGGATAACTTAATATAATAAAAAAGTTAGTAAACAGAATCAAAGTATTGACTACATCGTAATTCAAAAATTCAAAAAAAGTGCTGGACACCATATGCAGTACTGTAACGACCACGAGGGGCAATTCTACAATCAAAAATACCGTCACTACTACAATCAACATGAGTGTAGTGCAGTTTGAGTCCCTCAACTTTTTGCATTCCGTTTTCTGGTTTTTTTTGGAGGACAGCAGGATGTCCCTTCGTTTTTGTGCTTGCTTCAGGGCTCGGAACAGCAACAGATTTAAAATAACCAGGGCCACGCAGGGTATCAGATGCACGAAGAGGACTCTGAATGTAAAATATGTTATAAAATATATATTCTCTGTGATATATTCCTTCACCCAGTAGGCTCGGTCTCTGGTGCACACTTGTATAGTTTCATTGTGCCAAGTAGTGCTCGCCTGAAAATAAAAGGATTATTAAATCTTCTATCGTATACAGAGATATTGGAAAATGACAAAACGGATCGACTATCCGCAGTCGGCACAAGCAAGCGTTCAATAGTTGATTAAATATACAGTGTGGACTAAACACTTGAGAATATTGAAATGTCCCTTAATGTCCCTTTATTTACTTTATATGAGAGAATACGGAGCAAATATAGATGCTTCGATATTTTGGAACAAATATAATTGACATGCTGGTCCTATAACAATTTAGAGTCTAGGTATACTCCTAAGAATTTAATAAAATCTGGATTATTTAATTGTTCTCCACTTCGTAGGGTAAAGACCATAGTCACCGTTTTTGACTTGTTCAAACTCAAGTTATTAGAAGCAAACCAATCACTTGCTCTTGACTGAATTTGAGGTGATTTCTCTGTTAATAAAACTAAGTCTTTATTTCCATATGTTATATTAGTATCGTCAGCGAATAACACACTATTAATATTTCCATCTAAAGAAATTGGAAAGTCGTTTATGTAAATTAAAAATAGCAGAGGCCCTAACACTGAGCCCTGGGACACACTATGAATAGTATTCTTTAAACCAGACTTAACACCAATGTGTTGAACATATTGAACTATATTATTTAAATACAATTCCACTAATTTTCTAGTTTCTCCTGAGAAACCATAAAAATATAATTTATTTATAAGGATATTATGGGACACACAGTCGAATGCTTTTGTTAAGTCTAGAAATTGGGAAGCACTCACCATTCTCAAAACCAACATCTATAAAATGTCATTAAGAATAAATAAAAGGATTAAACTCGATAATTCTTTAATACAGTTAAAACAAAAAGTGATGATAACAATTATTAAACTTAAAAAAATGGGGCAAACGCTTTCATACTACATACATATTACAATATATTCTCTATATGACCTCCTCTCATTTCAAGACATATCCAATCTTCGCCTGACTTCTTTGTGAGCTGCGTTTATTAACATTTCGCCGTTTAACTCATTACAAGCGTTTGTAATTTTTTTCTTTGAAATGATTAATATCTCGCGAAGGTGTTTTGTAAACCTTGTTTTTTAAAACCCCCCATAAAAAAATCGAGTGGTATTAGATCTGGCGAATTTCCGGGCCATTGAATAGGTCCATTAGGCTCAATCTATTTTTCTGGGAAAGTGTTATCTAAATATTGCTCCACAATTCTGGCCTTGTGGGGTGGAGCCCCGTCGTGCTGAAACCATAGGTTTCTCCTTAACTGCAAAGGCACTTATTCCAATCCCAATTAAATGCCTACCGATGATGCCGCGCCATACATTTACTCCAAAATGGCCTTGGTTTTTGACTGGATTTACAATGTGGGGATTCTCAATGGACCAGTAGTGTTCGTTGCGCCTGTTTGACAAACCATTACTGACAAACCGACTTTCGTCCGTCTAAAGAACGTGCCGAAAAATGTTCTAATCAACAGTTTCTACATTTACTACAGTTTGAGCTATAAAATTAAGTCTGTTTTCAATGTGACGCTGAGGCAAATACTCCAAATTGTGAATTTTGTAGTCATGATGCCCATTGGTCTTCAAAATTCGTTGAACGCCCGATTTATCCAAATTCAATTCCCGACTAGCCTGTCGTATACAATTTCGTGGATTTTGTTTGTTGTTTTCGAAACACTGTAACAGTCTAGCTATTCTTTCTTACCCTTCGGTCAATTATTTGATTTTTCCGAACACGAACAGAGAATGCATCTTTATTTCGTCGCAAGGTCGTCTCCAATCTTGTAAAGGAATGAGGGGCTCTGGATACCTTTCTCGATATAACTCTACAGCTCTTCTTGAATTTGTTGTGACTTGCCGCAAATTAGCAACATATCAACTTTTTCTGAATGAGAAAACATTTTGTAAGTACAAAAGTTATACGTTTGACGTTCGTATTGAGTAACGACAAGTAGTCCAGTCGGCAGAGGCAAAAGTTACTGTTGGTGACAGTTCCTTGATAACCCGGAAATAACTACACTACTATTTTAAATGATGAGTACAATAACGGTTAATTTGTTGACAAAGTATTTTATCATGAATAAAAGTTATTAACAATTTTATTGCGAAATTTCGCTTTTTTAGTAGTTTTCTTTAAATAACTCAGCGGTATGACTTTGTACGAAAAAATGCTTAAGACATGATTTGTTCGTAATAAAAATAGCTACAAAATGGCGTTGGTCCGATTACGAAGTTTGCAATATAACAGAACCGTGAGATTGAAAAAACTGTATAAAACGTCAATTTTTCAAAGTTCAATGTACATAATATATGCAATAATGACGCTAAAGCCGAAAATCAGGGGGCAAAACTTTTTGTTCTAGGAAGGTTTTATACATCCACTGCATTTGAAACTCGAAACTTTGCTAAATATGTTTAAAACTTTGCTGACACTTGAAATTTGGTATATTTCGTAAATTGTTACAGTTCTACATATATCAACAAATATTGTACGGACTGTACTACACGTGTAAATAATCGGGGTGAAAGAAAAACGCTGGTTAATAACGCACAGGTTCACAAAAAAAGGACCAAACCCAAGAGACCCACATATCATTTCCGAAGGAATTAGATGTAGTTAAAATGACCTGATTAATTTCGAAGAAAATTGAAATTTTTGGGTGAAAAGTGGTCCAAATATGGTTGAAAACTGATTTTATCCTAAATTTGGTTGAAATATATCATTTTCGTAGTATTTTCAGGTGCTGAACACAATGCCATTAGTAAAATTTATCCATGTCCTCGATATTTATCAGAAAATCCATTATTTGTGTGAAAACTAGCCCAAATACGTCTCAAAACTGATTTTTTTTCCTAAACTTTGTTCAAATATATCATTTTCGTAGTATATTGAGGAGCTAAACACGATGCTATTAGTCAAATTTACCCATGACCTCGATATTTTTCAGAAAATCGAAAATTAGTGCTTTTTTACATAGGTACCTCGAATTCCTTCGGAAAAATATGTGGGTCTCGTGTTTAGACTTTTTTTGTGTACCTTTGTAATCTGAATCACATATTACACGAAACAGATACAAGTTTTCTATACATCTGTACAATCTGACAACTTGGTAGGATTTTAATCAAACTACGCCGACCACGCCTGACTTTAACCTTTAAACTTAATCTACAGCCTACGTCTGTATAACTTTTTAGGATGGCATTTTGAGTATATTCATAATATATCACCCTAGTTCTATTTTCGAATGTCTTACTTGATTATTTATTGGATTAAAAAGTATTCATGCCTTAAAATCAGGAAACAGATAATTTAAAATAAAACAGGGTAAAAAAAGAAACAGAAAAATTACAAATTTAAGTCGGATTTTGATTATTTTCCTTTTTTTTTTCTATTTTGGTTCTGTACTCTGTAAAAATATTTTATAAAGCGCCATTCTTAATGACTTCCTGTAATTCATTTTTTTATCGATATGATTATCACAAATAATTGACTAAGGTGACGATAAAAATAAAATAATACATTGTGGAGTTTTAATCGAATGTTGTTTCATAAAAATAATTGGAAATGATTTCAGTAAAAAAAAGCTATCACGGTCAGAAGTTTCTACTATATATAAGTCCCTTCAAAAAAATAATATCCGCAGAGATTAAAATTTAGTAGGCACAATTTACAGAATGGGAGAAATCTGAGTTGAGTTCTCTCAGCTAATATAACTTCCTAGCAGCTTCTTTAGGTTAAGAAAGCAAAATATGTTTTTCAATTAAATGACGGAAAGCTGTGGCTTTCAAGATGAAGCCATATTCAAGTTGACACAGAGGTTACAGTTGATTTCTCTCTACTTTTATAATTACTTCGATTAATTTTTGGAACCGGAAATTGGTCTGTCACCTCAAATATTACGAGATACCATTGTAAAAGTAATTCGATTTTTGTCAAGTACGAAAAATATCATTCGAGTATGTTTTATTAAAAAAAATCAATACTTTTGTGAACACGCGCGTCCTATTTTAAGAATAATATAATTATATTGCTATATATATTATTCATAGCTTATGAAAAGAATAACCTTAAAACTAATTACAGTAATTCTCAGCACCCCAACCCTTTGGAGATGTCTACTATTGACATTGGAACGATGTTCCAATGCCAGAAATTTCTAGACCTGAACCAGACCACACACCAGTGTATCTTGCGGAGCGAGCGTCGACAGCGTTCGAACGTCAACCCGGGAACAGGTACGATCAAAATTTTTGCAAAACAAAACAATCTCATAAACAGAAAGCATATTGCAAGTGTCAGTGCGTCTTTAGGCCATAAAAAGAGCGGATACTATTATCCCAACGCGGCGCTCAGTTATCCTGTCATCAACGGAGGAAGAGCGACAGCATGGACTGCATCTGAAGGGGAAGACACCTGAGCATCCTGGAAATCCTTTGCAGGTGAGCAGGCGACTAAAGGCAGGTTTACACGCTACAATAAATGCTAGCAATTTATCGTAACAATCGAATCGTTACGATTTATCGTAACAATCGAATCGTTACGATTTATCGTTGGGTGTAAATAGGAAATTGTAGCGATTTATTGGAATGGGAGTTGGGTTGGATGGATGATGCCGGCCGGGATCAATTTCTGCTAATCGTAACGACATGTTTGAACGTGTAAACAAGTAGCCGGCATTTCTCGCTACGATTTCACTCAGTTTGCATTTGCAATTCATCAGATATTGTCCGGTAATTGTTTTTGGCTGACCTTAACAACTCAACATAAGTCTCATCGTCCATTCTCAAATAATTTCGCTAGTCATTCGGTTCATTTCTCAATTATTTCATTAACTTCACATGAGCGAATTCTCTTCTCTTTAGTAACCACTCGCGGCTCCACTTTGTTATCTGTTTTCGCACTTTTTTCACTTTTCTCGCTAAACAACCGATGTACAACGACAACAACACTACTTCCTCCATGGCAAAAGTTTTTTTGAGGTCGATAGCTGTTGACAACGAAAT